CAATTGCACAGGCAATAATACATCTCCGCAACTGTAATTTAAACCAAGCATGACTATTCCTGTGATCCATGAATAGCCATCGAGCCTTGCAATGCCAGGAAGAGAGGCACCTGCATTTATGTGCTTTCTGAAAATAGCACTTATATACCGCTTTTTAATAGCCTTAATAGGCTAAATATGCACTCCGAAAGTCGATTGAGATTCTCAGTCATCCAGGTCATGGTTGTCCCAAAGGTGCTTTTTTCAGGTGGTAACTGGACTTTTTTGTTTTTTCAAGATGTTTCGCTTCTTGTCCAAGAAACTTCTTCGGCTCTGACTGGATGGTGGGGAATGGAAGGATTTATATTCCTTGCATTTATATTTGAAACATCTTCAAAAGAAAGAACAAGGAAGTCTAGCTGCCTCCTGAAAAAAGCACCTTTGGGATATGCACTTCAAAGCATCTTTTTGCTTTCAAATCTGAATCGCTATACAACCCCCAATAATGCCTCTTTCCTTTCTTTTAGGTTGATAGAACATATGTTAAATGAAGTCACTGCTAGATAAATGCAGCCTCCAATTAATGATCTGCTTTATCCAAACATAATCAAACATGCATTCAGAAAGTGAAGGGGCTTGGTGAGTTGACCCTGGCCTTATCAGTGCTATGTCCCCCTTATTACCTTTTCAACCCACTGAAACTGTTGGTCTTCGGCCACATAACAGTTGCACTGGCACAGTAAAATCTGAAAAGGATGAGGAATACATTAATTTTAGTGAAAGAGTCATGAATCACAAGACACCCCAAATCTCCCCCACCATCACTGGAAACTGTTTTCTTCTGGGTATTTCTTTGGAAGTAAATCTCACTCAATTACAGAATAACCTACTAAGTGAATTTATATATGCTTGCACTGAACATTACACAGGTAGTCCTTAACTTAAGACCACAATTGATCCCAAAATTTCCACTGCTAAGTAAGACAGTTGTGAGTTTTGCCCCATTGTATGATCTTTCTTGTCACAGTTATTAAGTGAAACACTGCAGTATTTAGGTCACTACACGGTTGTTAAGTGAATCTGGCTTCCCCATTGACTTTGCTTGTCAAATAATAGGAAAAGGTGATCAAATGTCCCCAGGACACTGCAACCGTCATAAATACATGCCCGTTGCCAAGCATCTGAATTTTGATCACATGGTCCTGGAGATGCTGTAATGGCCGTTAAGTGTAAAAAATGGTCATGTCACTTTTTTCAGTGCTACTGTAACTTTAAAAAAAAAATTCAACATTTTTTAAACAAAATCACGGTAACCCTTTTACAGCTTTCCATTATCAGTATTTTTTTCAAATTTCTAATTTTCCATTCTGAGGCCTCTTGTTTTACATATACCTCTTTATTCCATAGTAACTCATTTATATAATATATACAACATTTACATCTGTTATTCTCTAAATATATACCATTTCCTTTTGTTATACTTTCTAGGTATTCATTATGTATTCATTTTACATCTCTTTTCTAGCCAATTATACCACCTATTTCATGTCTTATAACACTGTTTCCTCTCTATCTCTCAGTTCCATTGTTAATTTATCAATTTCCACACATTCTTGCACCGTTTTAATAATCTCTGTGTTTGAGGGTACGTTTTGTTGTTTCCAGTTTTAATTCTGGCTGCGATAATTATGTGCAGCATAATATATTGAATTTCTTTATTGTAACTTCTAACAGTCACCAAATAAATGGTTGTAAGTCGAGGACTACTTGTACTGAATTTAGACAAATATTCCAGCCGGCACATCCTTAATCATGAGGCATGATTCTTCTTCACTGACACGAGATAATTGAAAGAGACTATAATTCAAGTACCAAACAGCACTGCATATAGATCAGTGGTGGGTTTCCAGCAGTACGCCCTGATACGAGTGTACCAGAGCCAGTCCAGCGGTACACCCTGATACAAGCGTACCAGAGCCAGTCTAGAGCCAGTCCCAATACCGTTCCAGTATGGTGCTCCGGAGGGTTCACCTGCCCACCCGCGCTCCTTACCTGTGTTTTAAAGCTTCTGCGCATGCACATGGCATGTGCAGTGCCTGCACAATGCTCTCTGGAGCAGCTGGAGCATTGCGGAAGCTCTATAATGCATGCGCACACTGCACGCGTCCATGAAAATCCCGCCGGCCTCGTTCCAACTGTACCAGTTGGAATGAGATTTGAAACCCACCACTGATATACGTACTGTGCAAAAGTTTTAGGCAGGGGTGAAAAAATGCTCTAAACAAAGAATGCTTTCAGACATATAAATAATGATTGTTTATTTTTGTCAATTTTCAAAATGCAAAG